CACACACACACACACACACACACACACACAGTTCGTCCTGTACCCGCTCGTCCTGTACCCAACTTCTTCCCGGCAGAAATTGGACCATGACTGTGTTGATGATACATGGATCATGGCACATGTGGGGGTGTGTGTTTTAAAAGTTAAATCCTATCTGGAACTGGCACTGACCCACCCACGGGCACACATTCCCACATGCACACACAGCCACACAAGTAGGTAAAGTAGTGCTCCCCGAAGTGACTGTCATGGAGCATCCACTCAGATCGTCTCTTTTAGAATAGGTTTAAAGGTCAAGTGTGTAAGATTCAGGTGACAGGGATCTATTGGCAGAAATTGAATATAAAATAATCCTAGCATTGCTCTCACTAGTGTGTTTCATCTAAATTGTACAAATTGTTGTTTCTTTACCCTAGAACTGACCCTTTATATTCAAATACTTTATATTTACATTGGGAAGAGGTCCTCTCTATGGAGGCCGAGGGTGTATAGTTTAACTTCAGTGTTGTCAGCGACATGGTATAGAACTTACAGTAATAGCTGGCCCCAAACTAATACTATACTGTGATTTTGACACTTTTGGACTCTCTGTTACTCATCTCTAAAAAAACGCAACATGTTAGAAAGTGAAATCATGTTTGTTCTGTAGTAAATGCTCCACCAATCAGAGCTGTTGCAATTACTCCTGAGGATTGTGGGTAGTGTGGACCATCTTTGAGACATTGTGACTAAAACATGTATTCTTAAAATGCGGTTTATATCATATGGACTTGTGCCTTCTGCAGGAGAATATAACACTATTTCACAGTCTTGTAGCTTGTGGTAAGTCTACAATATTTATATCAAATTCCAAAAAATGAATGGGATTCTTAGTGTTTACGCACCAGGCTGACAAAGATGAGGATGAGCTGGATGACATCTGTGTAAGCCACAGAGTAGAGCCCCCCCAGCAGAGTGTAGATTATGGCCACCACTGAGGAGATGATGATGGAGTAGATGTAGGACAGATCCAGGATCACGCTCATAGTTCCACCTGGAACAACACAACAGAGTGGTGAGTGCCAGAGAACTGACAGAGGCAACAACTCTTGTAATGTACAGATGATGGTAGCAACAGATACATGCAACTTCTTACATAATATTTTCTTTAAGTGTTTCATTAGGCTCTCAGTCTCACTTCTGCTTCAAGTCTTTTGTCTCACACACAAACACACTAATATACATGCATCCAATCTTAATTACTTTACTTAAGATTTAAGAAGCTAGGCAATGACGTTGTCTTGTTGCCTTAATGTTGTATTTTCCAAAAGGAGCATTGACAAACACACTTTTACCAACATATGACAAAACCTTACATTTCTAGACTTCTGAGTTATGAGTAAAGTTACACTCAAACATGTGTGGCAAAGCATCAGATTGCTTGGATAAAGTAACAAGGCAACACAATAATAATAAAATGATAAAGAGAACCATACAGAAACATAACAGAAGCAGCCTATTGATTGTGACTCCAAAATATTCCTTGTTCACACTCTTAAGTGAAGTATCTCACTTTAAATAGTGACAAATGTTGATATAAGTAAGAAAACTGAAGATCAATGCAGAGAGAAGTGTCTTCAAGTGCAAGAAATGCAACATTTTTTAAAAACTATTGATAAATGTTGGTAAATTAACAAGTTAATTAAAAAAGACATCCTGTTACTCAAACAAGGCAAGCAAAACGTCACTACCTTCACCGTCTCTTCTGCCACATTGCCAGGGTCCCCCCAGCCGCAGCCTGTAGCCACACCACAACAATGCCCTTAAACAGAGAAGTGTAAGATCGGCACCATCGCTCGCCACTCACCACCCCTGCTGACCTGTCATCTCCCTGTGGACCCCGCCACCCCCTAAATCACCCCACCACTGCTGTCTGTCGCCCCACTATAGCTTCCCATCATCTTGACGATACATGCATGACCTTTTCAGTTTGACCTTTGACCCAGTGACATTTTTTGAAATATGATCAGCTTTTTATTAATTCTGCTTGATTATCTAGAATAGCTAATCATTTCCTTCATTACCTTTAAAACAAGTAGATACTACAGATACTAACCTGTTCTCACTTGGCACTGAAAGGCATCTGGTCACATGAGCTCTAAATACAAGTGTGAATGAACCTAAAAACATGTGCACAGTTGGATTCAATCATGTGCTTTACTTTGTATGACCAACCATTAACATGCCACCAAGGCAAGTTTTTGCCTTTTTTTTGATAACCTTCATTTTAAGTTTTTCTTTTTGATGTAACTTTGCTGTGTTTTCCAGTATTTATGAGCTGACAGGTTATCAGAGGAGTAAAATCTGAACCACATGTGGTCACATGCTTTCTGATGCCATGTGTGAACTGAAATCCATCTCAACCAGATCTAATCCTGATCTAGATATGTGTAGACACACATCCAGATCAAACATGTACTTTTTGTTGTTGTTTGTCCAGTAATTTATCTTATGAGGAGGCATGAGGCAACATTTATTGTTAATAATACCTTGGTGGTCTGTTTTCCATAGCTCTAGATTGTCTTATCGGTTCTGTGCTGAGCTGTGCTGTTCCCCTCTGTGCTAAATTTAGGAGGAGGAGAATTCAGGGGGCTCTGGGGATTTAATGGGCAGCACCAGGGATTGACAGAGGCAAAGAGCTGCCTAAATAACCCCTGTGTTGTTTTTAGCCCCTTGTACCACTCAAAACTCATGTATGTGTGTTTG